ACAAAAGCCAAAATTGGACGAAATGGATCCTAATTAAACTAAAGAGCTTTCTGCCACAGCAAAAAGAAACTACCATCAGAGGTGAACAGGCAACCTACAGAATGGGGAGGAAAATTTTTGCAAACTCACTATCTGACAAATGGCTAATATCCCAGAACCTATAAAACTCAATCCAAATGTACAAGAAAAACAAACAACCACATCAAAGTGGGGCAAAGATATGAACAGGACACTTCTCAAGAAGAAGACATTCATACCAGCCAACAGACACATGAAAAAATGCTCATCATCCCTACTGCCATCAGAGAAATGCAAAACAAAAACCACAATGGAAAAAATACCATTCCTCACACCCAGTTAGAATGGCAACATTAAAAATCAGGAAACACAGTGCTGGAGAGGGGGATGTGGGAGAAATAGAACCTTTAACTCTGCTTGGGTGGGACTCTGTAAACAAGTTTCAAGACCATAGTGGAAACCCAGTATGGCGATGTCCTTCAAGATGGTAAACTAAGAAATACCATTTGGACCCAGCCTCCAATTTAACTAGAGATATACCCAAAGATTATATCAATGCTGCCTATAAGACCACATGGCCAAACGTAATGTTTAGTTGTGGCAACTACCTTCACAAACGACTTGGAATCAACCCAAATGGTCCATCCAGTGGACAGAACTTGGGATTAAGAAAAATGGTGGGCACAATATAACCATGGAATACTCTGCAGCCATAAAGAGAGAATGAGTGTTTCCATGTTCCTTTGCAGGGACACTGGATGGCAGCCTGGAAACCATCCATTTTCGCAAACTATCCGCAGAGAACATGAAACCAAATATCCACAATGCTGTTCTCACTTCATAGGTGGACTTGAACATGAGATACTCCTGGACACAGGAAGGTGAACATCACACACCAGGTCCTATTGTAGGGGCGCGGGTAGCCATCTAGGAGATATACCTAATGTAAATGGACAAAGTTAAATGGGTGAGCAGCCAACCCCCCACATGGACATGTGTCAACATATGTAAAACAACCCTGCCCAGTGTGCCACGATGTACCCGCTAGAACTATAAAGATAATAATAAAAAAAAGAAAAAAGAAAGGTAGAAACGCCAGAACTAAAAAAGAATTTTATTCATTAGGTCATGTAGATATGCACTATTCCCCAAGGCATAATGACAACATCCCCATGAATGAAGTAAAATCATGATGCCTACTATATATTAAGCATTAATATACATATATTTCCAGTTCTTGGAATAGCTGTGAATGTGGGAATAACTGTACTGACTGACAGGGGAGAGATCAGATAGGTTAAGAAACTTGCCCCATGTGCACAGCTCATCAGTGGTGCTGCCTGGACTCAGCTGCCATCTGTTTCACTCTGCTGGGGCATACATGTATGTGTACCCTTGCCCTGGCAAACTCTTCCTTTTGTAGAGATAAAAGCAGCCTCCCGCAACTTTCCTATATATTTATTCTCATCCTGCCCTCCTGAGCACCCATCCTTAGAAGTCTGCTCCCTCTTTCACACAACAGCCCTTCCAATCTTCAAAGAGGGCTATCGTGTCCATTTTTCCACTTCTCCCCTCTCGGTCTGTCATCTTGGAAAAGCTCAGAGAGGTGTTTTTATTCACAGATGCCTTGAGAAATTTCATGGTTTTTAGACTCATGCTGAGTTTGTCCAGATGTGCCAATATTTGTCTTATAGGATATAAATTAATTGCCCAGAAGAGGAAGAAACCTTTGTAGACATTCACTAATGCAAACCAGTTCCTTTGAGTATTGATGGAGCTAAAAATGAAATATTGATGGAACTAAAAATGAAACAGATCATTTTCACTGTGAGAGTGTAGTTGTTGAATTCACATTCTACTTTTAGGGCAAATCTGTTGCATGACAGTTCAGTCTTACCACATGCATTAACCATGGGAAACCCAGGTGACATTTGTAATAGAGTCCTGCTTTTCTGTAAGGACTTTATACAGATGGAGAAAGTATGATACTCTTACATTTTATTACCAAGTTCTGTGGCCCAGGGTTTACAGCATAAGGTGGAAAATAATTTAGCTCCACTCAGATTTGGAAGAGTAACTATTATTATTATAAGTAAGATTTAAACTTATGGACAAGTACATACTCTTTAAGGAGAGTTCTAAGACTAAGATGTTGTGTCATTATCAGTACCCGGCATAAATGTATATGTATCTGAGTTCTCTTTGAGAATCGTAATGGAAAAGATGTCTAAGATGATTTAACCTCAAGACATTAATAATGATTACACCCGTACCCTGCTCTCAGCATCATAGTCATCAACTGCGGCAACAGCTGCTGCTAATGTTTTTTGAACTCCTGTGGTATGCCTGGTGGCGTACTTTATATCAGCTAGCTCATTTTCAAAACTTGAGAACGCACTACATATACCATAGTAAGTACTGTTGTTAGCCTCATTTTATAGATGAAAAAACTGAGAGGTTAAGTATTCTGCCCAAGATCATACATAGGTTGAGTATCCCTAATCTGTGAATCCAAAACCCAAAATGCACCAAAATCTGAAACATTTTGCATGCCAACATGATGCTCAAAGGTGCTCCTCGGAGCATTTCGGATTTTGGATTTTTGGATTAGGAATGTTCAGCTCCTATAAATGCATATATTCCAGGATCTGGAAGACATCTGAAACATTTCTGATCTCAAGCATTTTGGATAAGGGATACTCAACCTATATCTTGTAAATAGCAGAGTGAGAGTCTAGCTCATGCTTTGCTGTTATATCTTGTTTCTTTCTTCAGCAAAATAGACTATAAACTGAACATTAAACAGTGCATGGGGATGAATGAAAAGTTTCCAAATATGAGCTTTCCTTAGTGAAACACTCCTTTTTAGGAAAACTGTTGAACCAAGGCTTATGATAAAGGATCCATTCCACATCCAAATATACCTCTCCTGTATCAGCATAATTCTCTATTAAAATCACAGCACAAATTTGTTCACTCTAAGAGATGGATAAAGACTATATGGTTTCATGTAAAGATCGCCAGCTTCCCAGAACTAGGATGATGGGAATTTTAACTAATGCTACCACTAACCTTGCTGTGAATGTGGCCTAGCCTCTTACTGTCTCTGGATCTCAGTTGTCCCATCTCTAGAATGTGAGCATTGGCCTCTGTGATAATGAATGTTCCTTCTAGCTTTGTATATTGCATAGTGCATTACTGCTAGCTTTAGGAAAAATAAAATGTTTTCAGTGGAAATATCAGATCACCAACCTGATGCCAGTGAATTTTTTTTATTCACTGAGGCTTTATGTCATAGAAAAATATATGACGTATTACTGCTCTGCTGCCTCTCTATTTAAGGCATTCTTCAATAGACTTGTCAGGGCTTATCTAAATCTTAGCACCACTTAGGCGTGGCTGATTGCTTGGCAGGAGGAGGTTCCTGCATTTTCTTCCTCTTGTGTATTACTGAATTGAAACGAAGGGAAAAACTACTTGGCTTTCTGCTTCCTTTCATGGTATGTAGACTTTTCTCCATATTTTCCAGCAGTTCTTTTTGACAGCCAAGTCTGGAAACAGGGCAGGATGGAGGTTTTAGAAATAGGTGACAGTTGTTTGTCTCATGAATTTCTTTTATTTCCTTTCCCTAGTGGAGTTAACTGCCTCCTTTCTGCAACAATCTGAACATACTTGCATCACAGAGTATGTAGCAGTGTGAGAAATAGCCATTTCTCTCTTTTACCTCTTCCTGATTCGAAACCCATCATAGGTAGAGATGGAACATGTCTGTGCTTAGATAGTATCTGGCACATACAGGTTGCTCAATTAATGGTGAATGAATGAATAAAGAAGAAAAAGTGGTGAAAGAAGAAAAACTACAGTCGTCTGTTGGTATCTGTGGCATATTCATTGCAGGACCCTGATGGATGCCAAAATCCTTGGATGCTCAAGTCTCTGATATAAAATGGCATAGTGTTTGCATCTAACCTACATACATTCTCCTGTATACTTTAAATTATCTCTAGGTTACTTATAATACCTAATATAAGTGCTATGTAAATAGTTGTTATACTGTATTTTTAAATTTGTATTATTTATTTACTTTTGATCTGCAGTTGATTGAATCCATGGGTGTGGAACCTGAGGATATGGAGGGCTGACTATATATATTAATGAACACTACTTTTGATTATATGAAAATGCCCATTTATGAAATGGACAATTCAAATGTTTCCTCTTTGACTATTCTTAACCTGACCTCCCAACTTGAAGTAATCTGGTCCTCTCCTCTAAACAGTTATGTGTACTAAATGTTTGGTAATTAATTATGTACTGACTTATGACATTTTTTTCTGTTCTTATAATACTTTTTGATTTTCAAATACCTTATGACCTTGTTTTTTATTACAATTTGTTTTCCCATCAAGATTGTCAATTCTTGGAGGCAAGGACAATTGTTAAATACTATATTTGGTATTTAATTCTCTCCTCTCCTTTGGGGGCTCCAGTTACATGTATATTAGGCCAGTTGAAGTTGTTCCTCAACTCACTGATTCTATTTATTTTTTTATATCTCATTGGATTTCAGTGTATCTCATTGGATACAGAGGGAAAAAGGGAATTAAAAAAATAAACAGAATTTGATTTTTGTTTACTAATATTTATCCTCTGCAATGTCTAATCTGATATTAATCCCATCCAGTGTATTTTTCATTGCATACATTGCAGATTTCACCTCTAGAAGTTTGATGTAGCTCTTTTTTTTTTTTTTTTTTTGAGATGCAGTTTCGCTCTGTCATCAGGCTGGAATGCAGTGGTATGATCTTGGCTCACTGCAACCTCTGCCTCCTGGGTTCAAGCGATTCTCCTGCCTCAGCCTCCCAAATAGCTTGGACTATAGGCACGTGCCACCACACCATGCTAATTTTTTTTTTTTTTTTTGTATTTTTAGTAGAGACGGGATTTCACCATGTTGGCCAGGATGGTCTTGATCTCTTGACCTCGTGATCTGCCCACTTTGGCCTCCCAAAGTGCTGGGATTACAAGCGTGAGCTACCACGCCCGGCCAATGTAGCTCTTTTTCATATCTTCAAGTGTCTCCACTGAATTTTTGAACTTAGGAAATATAATTATAATAGTCATTTTAATGTTCTGTCTGCTAATTCTAACATCCGTGTCAGTTTTGATTGATTTTTTTTTTTCCTCCTCATCAGGGGTTATATTTCCTTGCTTTATATGTGCCTGGTAATTTTTGATTAGATGCCAGACATTGTGAATTTTCCTTGTTGGATACTGGCTATTTTTGTATTCTTGTAAATATTTTTGAACTTTGTTCTGGGATGTGGTTAAGTTGTTTAGAAGCAGTTTGATCCTTTTGGAAAGTCTTGCTTTGAAGATTTGGAGGACTGAAATAGTTGTACTTAGTCTAGAACTAATTATTCTCCAGGACAGAGAAAACACTCTTCTATGTGCTCTCCTCGTTGCCTGGGGAATCATGAGGTTTTCCAGTCTGGAAATATTTTTTTCTGATATTTCTTCCCCAGTTTTGGGTAGTTGCCACACATGTATGCATTGATCAGCCCTCTGCTGAATACTTGGGAGGATTCTCTGTGGCTCTTTCTGCACCTCTCTTTTCTCTGATACTTGGCCTTGCAAACTCTAGTTGCCTTGGTCTCCCTGGACTGTTAGCTCAATTCACTCAATGCAGGCAGTTCACTGAGCTCTGCCTGAGTTTTCCCTTTCCTCCAGACATCTTGAGCTGGAAACTCTCTCAGGCAGTAAGCTGGAGGACTCATAGGATTTGTTTCATTTGCCTTCCTTCTTCCAGGGATCACTGCTCTTCATTGACTGTTATCCCAGTATTGACAATTATTCTGTTACTCCAACTTCGCCAGAAATGGAAGTGATACATTTTATTCTTTCTGTCTGAAATAATCCTCCATCCCTAATGTTTAAAAACTGCCATCCTTGACTCCATGTGACTGGGTTAGGAGCCCTTTCTCTGGTCTCCCATCATACCTCTGCTTACAGTAACTTAGTGCAGCACTCCTCTCCCTGCATTGTTCTTGCATTTTTTTACCCTCCCTTTCCTCATTAGATTTTATTTCCGTGAGGACAGAGAATGTCTTTAATCTCGGGATTTCTAACACCTAACATAGACTCAGGTGTGTAAGAGTTGCTCAATAAGTACTTGTTGAATGAATGAATGAATGAACAAATAGGATTCAATTTTCAAAGTATCTGTTGTTGAACAACTTTCAGAAGTTTTTTTTTTTTTTTTTTTACAGAAATGAGATTAGATATGCATCTTCATATATGCAATTGAAATCTCTCTTAAATTTCTAGATAATCAGTTTTTGTTGATGGCTTGGACATGGTTTTTACCTATTTACTTTTTGTAGCCTCTCATTAGAAGGTGTTAATAAAAGCCACCTAGTTGATGCTTCAAATAACATGTGGAAGTAAAGGGACCAAGAACAGAATAGCCATATTCTATAAATAAACAAAATAAAGGCTAACTTTTAGGTATCTATTTTATGATTGACCCTCAGGTGTGGTATATCGCAAGTCTGTAAGGAGATTGTTCTTATCTGAAGTGCCTTTTCCTTGTTGGACGTACTTGGATGCCTTTTATCCAGGTAGACTCAGATGGTTTGCCAGTAGCTCTATGGATTTGGTATTGGAAAACCTCATTGTTCCCCAGGCAATGGGGAGAGCACATAGGAGAGTGTTTTCTCTGTCATGGGGAATAAATAGCTATGAGTCGGTGCATTCTTACCAACTGGAGACAATTGACAGTGGATATGTGCCACTAGAGTTATGGTCAAGTGCAAGTTCATACTATATTTGGATCTTAAGAGTCGGTAGAATGAACCATATTTGGTAAGCCTCTTAAGACTATCTTGCTCCATTTCCTCAGCAGCTCTTGGTGACTCTGGAGCCCCACCTCCAAGTCCCCATCCTGCATAGCTGGCCTGATAGAAATGGCTTGAGGTTCTTGTTCTTTTAGATTCAGTGTTTTCATCTGTGCAGTAGGATGTAAGTAGGATAAGATGTAATTTGTCAGGTTGCTATGAGGAATAAATGAAGTAATAAATGGTAGTTGCCTACAGTTTCAGGCACATGGGAACCCTCTCCCACCTCCCCCAAACTTAATTGAAAAGATAGCCATCAGCCTCTGAAGTTGAATTGTGCTGAGTGGTTACTAACATTAAAGACATATGGAGTTATTGTATCTGTATCTTTCGCTTATCAGCTTTTCCTTGAAGGTTTAATGTGTGTTCCTTTGCTTTTAGGCCACATGCTTATTTTCCTGAAAGGGGTCTTCTTGACTTAAAGCACAATCTTTGCTTTTTTGTTCTTTTTTCACTGCTCTTGCCTGGTGATCCAGTTGTTTAAAGACATCTCCATCCTTCCCTATCCTTCCCCCTTTCAAATCTATGGCCCAGACTGGGGGTGGCTTTAACTAACACCACCACTCTGCATTAGTTAAGTAGAGTGGAATTTCTCATTCTACCTCTCAGATATTGATGAAACCTCTCCCTGATGCACAAATTAAGACTGAGTGTATTTAGCATATTTTCCTAGAATGACACAGTGATTCTGTGGCTAAACCAAGATTAGACCCTACCACTTTAAAAAATCTGACTTTTTGCTTAAGGAGTAAACTGTGTTGCTTCTAAAACTACTAGTTGAATTTAACTTTGAAGTGTACTTTGTATTTAAATCTGATGATAGTGTTGTTTTTCCTTTTGTCTTGTTTAGATGAGGGTATTTTCTTCATTTCCCTGACCCCTAGTGCCTCAGTGACCTAGGCAGCAAGTTTGTTGATGCTGTCCAGAATGCTAATTAAGGTATTTATTCTCTTTGGCCCTATTGTTTATGATACTTGTAATTATGTCTATTAGATGGTAATCTCTGTTATCTCCTGCTATACTAAGTATAATACTCTGCACATAAATGTGTGAGTATGTGAATGTATGGTGAATAAATCAATATATTTGTATAGTTACTGATTTAAATGTGTTCCGTCTTGGGATGTGAGATGGGATAATTGAATAAGAAATTAGCCTGTGTGTGTTAAGGTAGTCAAAGTTCTTATGGTACCTTTGTACAAGCCGCCCCTTCTGTTGTGTGTGCTGACCCATGTCATGATGCTCAGCATGACTAGAGGACTCCTGGTGTGTTTCTGTCCTCACTTGCTCCCTGGGTTGGACACCCCTGTGCAGGGTACAGCCAACACAGTTGTATAAAGACCCTCTGACTTTCATTTTCTGGCTGGCTGGGGGTTTTGGTGTTGAGTGCTTTTAAGGAAGACAGTCACCTTATCCTACTTAATGTTTTCTTGAAGTGCAGGCCCTGTGAAGATGAAGATCCCCTATTCCATTTTGGGGTCACTTTTGTGATGCTTTTCTCTGTCTCTCCAAAGTTTGATTTAATGAAAATATGTACCTCCCTTACTACATTCTACAAAGCTTGTTTGAGTTTTTAAAATTTAATAGTAAATATGTTAGTACATGTTGATTCTAGTGCCCAGCACATAGTTTCTGCTCAATACTTAGCTATAATTATTGCTTTATTTAAATTGCCTTAATCATTCATTTAATAAGCAAACATCCCCTCTGTAGGCTTTTCTCCAGATCTGGGATACAGACATGGGTAAATCTTGGAGTTTGTGTATAAGCAGCAGGGTTGATCGCCTGCCAGTTCACTGGAGAGATGCCATGTTTGGAGGGTGGACGTCTGACTATAAGGCCCTCCCAGTTGCCAGAGTCTAGACTTCTAATGTGCCCTCCCTTATTGTATACCTGGTCAAGGAGTGGCACTAGAAAGTGCAAAGGCTTCAGTGTTGGATGAGTGTGAACTTGAATCCAAGCTATGTTGTGGGCTAGCTCCGAGCTTCAGTCTCTTCCTCTTAAAATGGGAATACTAGGGTAGTTGCAATGTGTCATTGTTAACTAGGCCCTGGGCTAAGTTCTTTACTCTTGTGATTTTATGAAATCCTTAAATAGCCCTATGAGATGTATCTTGTTAATATGTGTATTTTATAGATGAGGAGCCTGAGGCACAGAAGGGTGAAGAAACTGGCCTAAGTGGTAGAGCTTTTCACTGAACTCAGGCCTGTTAGAGAGCAGAGGCCACATTCTTCACTGTTATGCAATGTCATGCTATGTTATCTGTCCAGACATGTTATAATCCCTGGCACACAGGATCAGAGCAAATAGTAGCTATTATTATTACTATTATTGTTCTAAAATTCAGGCCTTTCTTCACCACACTGACACTGAGTAATATATATTGTAGCTGTTCAATAAAACTTTATTGGATTTAATTGGTTATGAATTTTATGTGCGGGAAGGTGGTTAACTTTCCTATCTGTAAGGAGAAATGCTCAATAGAATATCTTAAAATGGGGGAAGTTACGAAAATATAAAATAACAACCAGAGAGGCAAATCAGTTTATGAGAGTCTGTATTGGAAAGCTGGAAAGAAGTTTTTAATAAGAAGAACAGGGGCCGGGTGCAGTGGCTCACACCTATAATCCCAGCACTTTGGGAGACCAAGGTGGGCAGATCACAAGATCAGGAGTTCGAGACTAGCCTGGCCAACATGGTGAAACCCCATCTCTACTAAAAATACACACACACACACACACACACACACACACACGCGCACACTCAAAATAGCCAGGTGTGGTGGCATGAGCCTGTAATCCCAGCTACTCAGGAGGGTGAGGCAGGAGAATCGCTTGGACCTAGAAGGTGGAGGTTGCAGTGAGCAGAGATCGTGCCATTGCACTCCAGCCTGAGCAACAGAGCAAGACTCTGTCTTGGAAAAAAAAAAAGAAGTATGGAAGGGTACAATCTGGTGGTAGACAACATTTGAAAATATTCTGGCTAGCAAATAGTGTTTTTGACTAAAAGAAATAGACATGACGAATCAGTTATGTGGCCATCCCTTATAACAGTGATGAACAGATAGGAGGGTGTGCAATCTTTAAAGTTTAGAAACAAATTTGTCCTTCTGACATCCTTCCCTTCTCTTGACACACGGTTGGTAATGGCCAAGATTCTGCTTTGCCTGATGGAGTTTTGAGTGAATTAAGTTAGCTTGTCTTGAAAATAGCTGGGCCAGAAAATAAAAAGGTTTTCTCTTTTTGGAAAGAGGCTTTACTCCAGGGAAGAACACAGCTGTCCAGGAGGAATCCGGGACTGTTGAGTCCAGAAACTCTGCTCCTTCTCCACCCTTTCCCCAGTGTTTCACCAGCAGAAAAAGAGTGTTATTAAAGTCTGTGATGAAACAAAGCTGCACACTGAGACGTGGCTGCCAGAACTTTTATTTTTATGGTTCTCTTGAGTTTGGGGAGAAATAATTAAATGTTGCAAATGTAAAAATTGGGAGTAACATTTTCCGTTTTGCCAATAGTCATTCCTTTGGTTTTCCCTTGGATTTTATTTATTTCTTTCTCCTTTAGGGCATTGCTCTGTCATAGCCTGCATGAGTATTGTGTCTCTAGGAAGGCCAGAACACCAGGTTTGGATGTTACATAGCCAAGAACATTGTGTAGCAGCGCCTGGTTTTGCCACAAGACGGGTCTGTGGGAAATATCACTGCCATTGCAGCCCAGCACATTGAACTGACTGTGCTCAGGAATGAGATAGTTCACCAGTAGTAGGCTTACTGGAAAGTCTGTCTTTCTGCATCCGTGATTTGCAGAGGGGCATATGATTGCCTTGCTGCTGGAAACGTAGGAAATACAGTTTTTGGGGATTCTACTTTGAAATAATGGTACTCATCAATGCAGTGGGAAACTACAATATCAGGATGTTAAGAAGGGGTTCAAAAGATTTTAGGAAATCTTGGAAGAAAAATGCCCATTCCGATTAAGCCAGTAGGTCAGTCTTCTTAGGGTTTCTGTGATAATATAAGACCTTAGAGTGGAGAAGCCTTTCCTGACAAGTCTGGGGTTGATTTTATGTGTTTGCTAAGATTTATTAAAATAAAAATGACATATTCTATAAGGAAAAAGAATATTAATGGTATTTTAATTAAGCTTAAGCAATAAATAATGGTTATTACATAATTTTTATTTATTATTATTTACCTTATTTCAGGGTCTTTCTTATTGTGAAATTTCAATAAAATGCTTAGAAATACATTTTGCTGGCCAGGCACAGTGGCTCATACCTGTAATCCCAGCACTTTGGGAGACTTAGGCAGGTGGATCACTTGAGCTCAGGAGTTCGAGACCAGCCTGGCCAACATGGCGAAACCCTGTCTCTACTAAAAATACACAGAATTAGCCGGGTATGGTGGCACATGCCTGTAATCCCAGCAACTCGGGAGGCCGAGGCAGGAGAATCGCTTGAACCCAGGAGGCAGAGGTTGTAGTGAGCCAAGATCATACCACTGTAATCCATCCTGAGAGACACAGTGAGACTGTCTCAAAAAAAAAAAAAAAAGAAAAAGAAAAAAAAGAAATACATTTTGCTTTATTGCAGACAGGATACATTTCAAGAGGCTTACTTCACCTTCTCTATCTGATCTATCCGCCAAATATCTTGGCTTTGTATTTCCCATAACCCGTCTGATCTTCATGTAGCTGGGAAAGAAGTATATATTTGAAAGTAGAATTTTGAGTAAAGAAACCTGGAAGTTAGGGAGAGATGACCAGGTTCCATGGCTCCTTGTTAATTTCAGCTTCAAGCCATGTACTGCCTTTTCTTGGGCGCTTGATCTATGCTGAGCATATCTTTTTCTTTCTTGGTGTGAATTTTGTCTCTCAGTATAGGTGGTATTTGTTAATTTAACTCTGACATAAACAGGGGAACACTCTGCGCTTCAGTGTCATTGTCTGTAAAATGGGGCTATAAGGTATTTCCTGACCCACTTAAGGTTACTGTGAGGATTAAGTTATAACATACAAAGAAGACTTTTAAGAATTAAATATAGTATAAGCATAAAGTGACATACAATGAATTATAGTCTTTATTATTGAATTTCACTTTGTGACCTCATAAAATTTGATTCCTTTCAGCTCTATCAAGGACAGCATCTTGCCTAGTCATTTTTCTTTTTTTTTTTTTTTGAGACGGAGTCTCGCTCTGTCGCCTGGGCTGGAGTGCAGTGGCCGGATCTCAGCTCACTGCAAGCTCCGCCTCCCGGGTTCACGCCATTCTCCTGCCTCAGCCTCCCAAGTAGCTGGGACTACAGGCGCCCGCCACCTCGACCGGCTAGTTTTTTTGTATTTTTTAGTAGAGATGGGGTTTCACCGGGTTAGCCAGGATGGTCTTGATCTCCTGACCTCGTGATCTGCCCGTCTCGGCCTCCCAAAGTGCTGGGATTACAGGCTTGAGCCACCGTGCCTGGCCTTTTTTTTTTTTTAGAAAAGTTAGGTGCTTGTTCAATGTCACAAAGCACGTTAGGGTAGAGGTAGGGCAAACGCCCTGGTCTCCTGACTCCCACACCAGCAGGATGCTTAGTTGTGATTTCTGCTTTGCTTTACCACTTGGGTCATCTTTTAGTGAAGGAGGTAACTATCTCTTCTTTCTTGGGTTAAAATGATACCTTAGTAGAAGCAAAGAACGCTATCACTTTAGTTCTTTTCAACCTTCATTTGCTGTTGCCTTCTGTGTCTAGGCATGCTGAGTTGGTATGAAGGTGACAAGTATGATAGATTCTGGCCTCTAAGGGACTGTCAAGTCTAGTGAAAGGAGGTAAATGAGTAAACAGATAGACCCTTGGGTGTCTGAGTTTCTGGTGCTGGTCCTTACACACAGGGTCTATCTGGGCAAGTCATGCCTGTTTTTGGACTCAGGTTTCCCAGCTGCACATTGAGGTCCTGGACTAGATG